AAGGTCTTACGGGTTTCGAACAACACGAGGGTGAGTAATTAATAAATTTTTGGGTGAACTAACCCTTTAACTGTGTGCTGTGTAACTGCTTCGGGTAAGGAAGCCAGTTTCACAACTCGTCATGTAGATGGCAATATGTCTCTTGTATCATATCTCCATACGTTTTTTTCACATCACACGTCTCTCTCCATCTCTGTCCTCTGTAACATGTTGTGTAGGTTGAGATCTCTCATGAATAATAAATGATGAGTCCTGATTGGTAATCCACTGATGACTCCATGAGCCACAGACCTTGTAGATGCATCATCTGTCCTCCAACACCCTCTCAATCCATTCATTCCATCCATCCTCATTTAGAGATTATCATCTCTCAATCTGTAATAGATTGAATGAATCACCCAGAACAACACCCCATCCCACCACCACCTCACTATGCAAGGTTTCTCTCTTTGTTCTCTCTAGAATTTGGCATCCCCTAAAATGTGCTCTTACACCCTTGTCTGTGTTTTTTCTGTCTTGATTATGTCATGGATGTTTTGTGAGCTTGAGACAAACGGGGCTAATGATATGCTTTGATGTTTCAGAAGTTATACAGTTTTCACTGCTGAGGAATGATTAATTTCTGGCTATTTCTCTTTCTCGTTATCAGTGTTTTGCAGCCTAACATGGGGAAAAAGTCCAAATACAAAACCTCAGTAAAGAAGAAGACACTAAACCCAGAGTTTAACGAGGTCAGCTATTTCAATTAAAGGTGTGGTCACATGAAACTGCACAATTAATTAATATTAAGGTTCTCGCAATTTATTAAAAATGAAAAATGCTGATTTCTTTCTGTTGCACTAAAATGTCTTTTACACAGTTTTTTCAGTGGTTGAGAATTGTAACCAGTCACAGACAAATGCAATGGCAAACCAAAGGCTTTTAAAGGAGTCTATAGGCCTTATAAGGGAGTTTAAAGTAGTCTTTATTATCTTTTTTAATCTAAAGTAGTAATTGCAATAAAATACCAGGGAGAAATACATAACGATTAGGATATTGTCACAGTCATGCAGCCCTTTAGGCTTTCTGCTCTATTCAAATCCATTCATATTCATGCAAATGTGGGCGAGCGGAAAAGCAAACACAAGTCAAGAAGTTTCATTCTTGGCTGCATACTAAATTCAAGTTTGATGAACTTTGAATTTGTATAGTCCCAGATTGATCTCGAGTCAAAATGAAGAATAAAAATTTGGTTTGCAATTTGTGGGAAAGTGAAGTAAGTGGTATATATGACCATTTTTATTCTATTGTTTTTTTGTTACATATAATTTATGATTTACTTAAAAACAGAAGCCCTAGAATGTGACATCATTTTCTGATGTTTATAACTTTGCATGCTCAAAGCTGAGTGTGACCACACTTTCACTCAATGTGAATATAAATGTTGTTTTTTTCCCTCTATCAAAACTCATGTGTGTCCTCTTCAACCCAGGAGTTTACCTATGATGTCCCGCATGATCAGCTGGCCAAGAAAACCCTGGAAATCTCAGTCTGGGACTACGACCTGGGCATGAGCAATGACTTCATAGGTGAGTTTTACAAGCAAGTCTATGGTGCAAAGCACTTCACCAAAAATGAAAGTACACACTATTTGAAAATTTAAGCCACTTGATGATGACAATGGGAAAACAATAAAGAAAAACGCTAAAAGGATGATCAGCTTTACCACTCAGATAACACACATTTTTATAAGAAAGAATGAATGAAGGTTCACCTTACAAGTTATTTTGTATTTCCTATACTTGTATATTCTGTATTTATTTATTAGTGTTTGTGTATATAAAGTGTGTATAGAAAATAATCACATTTTGTTGCTTTGCAGCCTGAAATGAAGATGGA